GTTTAATACAACTCGTGTATAAAATACATGAGAAAAATTTTGTCTTGAGTTAATACAGTAACAATTCCACAGGATGTTGGCCTCTCTGGAACTGATTTATTTCTTACAAAGACAACATTTTTTCTTCGCTTGACAGCTTTTCGGTCCTACTAAATACTGCCCGGAGACGCCCGGGAGTGGCCGGGGACGCCCTGAAGCGCCCGGGAGCACGTGAGAACGCCCGGGGATATAAAAGATGGTATAAATCAGTGCACGATCCTTTTTGAGTCTCTATGAGGCATTGATTAATGAAAAATAGCATTGAAAGTAATTTTAAGCAGCCTAGCAACAAGCTCTAAAAGCGCGGTCGCCCACGCAGGTCGTTGTGCGAAACATGAGATTATATTTAAATTTATTATAAACTAATATTTGCAGTTATTAAATCAAACTAAAGTTAAATAAAAAATTAAGACTAGTTTTGTTTTAATATATCAACTGCTGACAACAAGTCAATTGTCGTTTGGCGACTTTCGAAAAATTTTTGTCAATAAGATTACCAAGATCTATGAGCTATACATAAAAGTCAAAAACAAAAAAGCTCATCAAAACTAAATCTAAAAAGAGAAGATGAATATATATATCCTAAAGTTCCCAAACTATACTCTAGAGTAGATAAAAAAAGCATTGATAACGCTATATTTTACTAATATTTAGGCTCAAAACTGCGTTTTTGTTTACGCGGAATGCTTTATATTATCTTGTATATCCCCGGGCGTTCTCACGTGCTCCCGGGCGCTTCAGGGCGTCCCCGGGCACTCCCGGGCGTCCCCGGTCGTTCCGGGCAGTATTTAGTAGGACCCCAGCTTTTTGACAGTGTAATATTTATAACAATATTTCTTGGGCTTCTCACTTGATTGAAGTCATTGAACTTAATAATATTGAATTATGAATGTGAAGAAGTTTGTACATGGTCTATAAAGAATAGGCTTTTCACATCCAAGCATTGCCAATGGAGGAGTGGGGTGAGGGCACTGAGGGGCGATCCCTACATGTAGCTTCAAATTAAATAAGTACCTTGGTCATTTTAACCTGATTTGTATGGCCTGTTCAAATGGGCCATAATAATATTAGCATAGGAAATTACATTTTGTTCATGTAAGGAAGCACAAACTATTAGCCCAGTTGGTCAGATCCCAGATTTGTTGAAATGAGAGACCGGGCATTTTAAATTTAATGAAAGCATTGTAAGAATTATCGGTGTTCTATCAATAGGCATACAGTAGCATCATTAAGAAAAAGCTAACTGCAACTATAGGGTATATACAAGGCACTGTTATCAATGTGTCTAATTTGTTCCATTGCTGTGGATGACTAAAATATAATCGAAAAGTAGAATTACCATTGTGTGCTTTATGAAAATACGTAGTGCTTCCCATAATCACCATTCATTAATAATATCAATTCCTCCTTAGGATTATGTTGACGAGCTATATGTAACAAACCATTCATTGGTGATGCTAGATGATCTTCATTCAAGATTCATTATCGGAAAGGAATCATCAGCAAGAAATGGTCTTTTCATTGGCTGATAAAAATGAACCTTGGGCAGATGTTTGCCAGGTTGTATATTTCTTGTAGCCTTTGACTTGCATTTGGAAACGAAAATATATACTGACACTACATGCTAGATGACGAACTCATTGTTGAAGAACATTTTAGTATTGTTTATATAAAAAAAGAACACTGTAAAGTCACCTTGTACTGGACAGAGTAATGTAATAAGTGCAGAGCTCGTCACAGCTAATTTACATTATCATTTGCAGTCTAAATGGTAATAAATGTGATATTTTACATTCATCCAGCTTTACTGCCTTACATTTTGAGGAGCATTACAGTACAAAACTTAAATGTGCCCTACTTTCCTGCTGCCCTTTCATTATATTACTCTATCTTACAGCATATAAGGTTATATTTCATTAAGGGGTTGAGTCTTATTGATAGTTTATTTGTGAATTTATTTAAATATATATCATTTTGATATTGAGCATAATAGTTTTCACCTAAGTACATTGTGCTTTATATATTCTCTATTTATGTGTATAATGCTAAATTGAATAGAATATTATTTTTTGCTAAAATGTGTTGATTTAGGTTATGTTAGATGTCACTAAGATGGTTTCGATAAATCGAAACATTGACATGGTCTCGATAAATCGAAACATTGACATGGTCTTGATAAATCGAAACATTGGCATAGTCTCGGTAAATCGAAACATTGATATGGTCTCGATTAATCGAACCATGACATTATCTTCGATAAATCGAAACATTGACATGGTCTCGATAAATCGAAACATTGGCATAGTCTCGATAAATCGAAACATTGACTTGGCCTCGATAAATCGAAACATTCACATGGTCTTGATAAATCGAAACATTCACATGGTCTCGATAAATTGAAACATTGACATAGTCTCGATACATCGAAACATTGACTTGGTCTCGATAAATCGAAATATTCACATGGTCTCGATAAATCGAAACATTCACATGGACTCGATAAATCGAAACATTGACTTGGTCTCGATAAATTGAAACATTGGCATGGTCTCGATAAATCGAAACATTGATATAAATTCCATAAAGTGATCCGAGATTGGTTAAACCAACATATTTTCACTGTTAGCTGTCATGCTACTTTTGCATTATTTGATCCTTTTCCGAACAGTCTATAAAATGTATTGTTAATTTTAGGTAAATTTGGTTGTTTTAGCAAGAGAAGAAAATTTGCATTCTTTTTTTTTGCACAAAAGGTGTTTTTAAGCACCAATTTTTCTGTTTTTTTCCAGTTTTGGACAAATTTGTTTAAAAAATACGAAAATTGGCACCATTTTTGGCTAAATAGAATATTGGACCCTATAGTAGAACGTGTTTTACAAAATTATTAATTTCCCAACATATATATGTTAGGTATGTTATTATACGTATACATAAGCTTCAATTTGAAAATTCAACCACAATAAACGCTTCTCAAAACGTTTTAATTAAAGTCACTAGTGTTCTTTATAAAACTAAACTGCCTTTTAAAATGGCTTTATCGATAAACTTTGTCTTTCAGTTTGCAATAAAATGATTTCAAATTCTCGCTTGCAAATAACTTTGCTTTCTTTTTTTTCTTAAAAAATTCAATATCATAAAAAAGGGAATCAATATTAAAGATACAATGAAATTATATGCTGTCTTGTTTAGTTGTTTCATATACGCAAAGGCCGTCGGGTTTTAAAGAGGCATTATAAAATCAATATTTAAAACAAAATTACTTTCGTTAACGTCCACTCTCTTCTTTTAGCCGATTCTTTCGCAGTTTCTGAGAGAGCTTTTGAAATTTACAAAATCTTGCAAAAATGCGAGCAAAAATGAAATATATTTGCAAGATGCATTATCAATCATCAAATCAAGAAATGTTTGCTATTTCGCTGTCGTCATGCAGTTGTTATAATGCAAACTTTAAATTCGACCAATCAATGTCCGCTATTCATGACAGTCCGCCATATTTTTGAGATCAGTGAGGATGACCACCCACCCAACAGCCCAACATCGTTGGTCACCCGCGCCCGCGATAATTGATGAACTTTAGACTTCGCTAATGCTTTCGTTTCCCCGGGTGTAAATAGCCGGGGGGGGGGGGATATATACAGAAAACATAAGTGTGAACAAGCCGACATTTGTTCGACATATAACCTTAGTTTCAACATGAAAAATGCCTGTGAGTAGTACGTGCGCGGTTTGTGAAAGTAAGGTTATTGCATCTGTGATTAATTAAGTCAACTGTTGATTTAATTAATATGATAAAGTAGCTAACATTCTCTATCAGTTGATAACATTTCAACATGGTAAATATTGAAATACCACAGCCTCGTCTCCAGGCACTAGTACGTGCGTTGGGTTTGCCCTTCTCCTAGCCGGGGACGAGGCTGGAAATAACAATCGTGAATAAAGAGGCCGCTTTGAACCTTGTGTGACTTGCTATATCAACAGCTGGGGCGGCGAACCGAAATCCCGAAGGTGTGAGTTCGAATAATTTCTGTTTACCTTTGGAGTTTGTGTCTCATCATGAAAATAGTTAATGCGGTATCAATCCCTCAAAACATGTTGCCAGAGTTGTTGTTGTCATTTATATGACAGAAGCACTTGGGGAAGCTTTTCGCTTGACGAAATCCGAAACAAGTGTGATCGAGAATGTGGCTGCAGTTCCTGTCTTCGTGGCAAAACCCAGGGCGAAATTTTTGACCGTGCCAAAGCTAGATAAACAGTGACGAGAGTACGAGACGCTAAGATTATATTCAACTTTTTTGTGTTATAAAAATGTGTGTTTTGAAATTGTGAACTGGAAGTATGAATTCACTGATATTACTCTCATATTGACACTAAATGATGATATTGTTGTGACACTGAATGATCTAATACTAGAAAATACATGCATGCAGAAACCCCGGCCTTGCTGACAAAACTATTGTATTTTCCGAACATGAAGTATCTAAAGTAGTTGTCATGGTAACACGATAACTTTAAGAATATTCTTACAAATGAAAAATCGCCTAAAAATATCACTTTTAATTAAAAAATTATCAATTTCCCAACATATATATATATATATATATATATATATATATATATATATATATGTTAGATATGTTATTATACGTAATATAAGCTTCAATTTAAGGTAAAATTCAACCCTATCTACTTATTTCAGTACGGACAGTAAGCTGATTGAGCGAAACATGCAGTGCGTTCTTTTAATATATTAATGCGGTGAGGGCACCAAAAAATTTAGATCCGTAAGACTATAGGCAAGTTGAAAGTTCGATCCACACTTGTTTTTATTTTAATTGACACTTCCATGAAAATTTATCAGAACAAATATAATAACAAGCTATATCAATGAATCAAGCAAAACTGTAACTAACAATATTTAGAAAGAATTGTCCTACTATATCAAAATTCTAAAGTCGCAACTGTTAATCGAAGGAGCCAAAAAAGGCCTTTCTACGTTCGTGACAGGCTGCAAATTTCTTTACAATTCCATGGATGTCAAGATCGTCAAACTCTGACTGGTAAATGTTTAGCAGTATGGCATTGTTTAGTCTTTCTTGCCCCATCGTCGCGCGAAGGTACGATTTCAGTCTCCTGAGCATTGAGAACGTACGTTCCGCCGTTGCGCTAGTTGCTGGAACTGTAAGGAATAGCCTAAGCAGCTTGTCAACCTCGGAAAACAATTTACGGTTGTTGGGATTTTCAGCAATTAAACTGCACAGGGTTTCAAGTTTGGTGACCTCCTTTATTGGCACTGCAGAATTCGAACATTTAACCAGATCGGGCAGCATCTTCAAATGTAACTCTAGGCGATCCAAGTCAAGATCGTTCGCGTAAATGTCAGAAATCGTTTCTTTAATGACAAATTGATTTCCATTGGCAGCTCTTAAAAGTAGTTGTTCTATATCTCGAAGCAACGTGAAGCTTTTCTGGTCAAATCGCCGAACAAGATCTGGATATACAAGATCGAGAACTTCAAAATATTGCTGGCGGTGAAATGCTTTTGGGCTGCCGAAGTCATGCCCTGGAGCACCATCATCAAATCTTGCTGGTACTTTTCGTTGCCGCGCGAGAAATGGAGCTTTCGTTTTACCTTCGGACTCCTTTACTACGCGGTCGTAGAAACCGTTAAACTCTTTATCTGAACGCATGCGCTTGTAATAATTGCCTGTAAGATTGGAAGAATTAATAGCCTCTTGGATGTTGCAATCTTTACTCTGCAAGGTTCTAGATAATTCTTCACCTGGACTAAACACAAGGTAGGACAATCTTAAACCAAACAGAGTTGAGAACTTCTTGAGTCTTCTAAGCATACCATCTGCTTTTAGAGCAACATTTCCACCTTCGTCAACAACATCGTTGCAGGTTTCTTTTAGAGCCTCGTAGTTGTCCAAGACATGTACAGCTTTAATAGCGTCACTTCGAACTGTCCAACGAGTTGGGCAAAGAGTTTTAAGATTCTGGTGGCCATAAAAGATTGTTTCCTCATCCTCCATTTGCTTTTCATTGAAGATTTCAGCTCTCTTTGGCGATTTGTTGACAATATGGACAGCTTTCCGGACCAAGTCTATGGCATCTTGTATCAGACGAAATAACTTGCACACATCTTGCAAACACAAATTAAGGCCTATGGACCAAGCAGTGAACTGGTATTGCACGTGGTTCCTCTTGCTGAATTTGAGTTGAAACACCATGAAATCTACCACTCATCGCCGCAGCTCCATCATTATCCTTGGCCACGACACTGATTTAAAGGTAAAATACAACGAACGAGAATATCCTTTAGGTGAGATACAATTGAATCAGCTGTGCAACTTGAAATTTGGAATAGACCTAACAGATCTTCGGGGATGTTATAATACTCATCTACCCAGCGACAGCAAACGACCAATTGCTCCTTATTGGAGATATCTCTAGTTTCATCTGCCATAAGACCAAAATATCCTGCCTCGCGGATTTTTACAAGAATCCCACGCAGAACTTCTTGGCCCATTAGAGAAATGATTTCATTTACAATTTGAGGAGACTGATAACGCTTTAACTCCAGCCACTTTGAAATTTCTGGGACATCTTCAGCCCTAGTTTTCAACATTTGATATAGGTTTCCGTCTTTATCTTTATGTCCTAAAATTATATTTAAATAACCTATAAAACATGCCAAGTGTATTGGTTGTGTGGACAACCAAATCAAATAATCAATAACAGCCTTCTTGTCTCTTACCTCGTAAAGGCATTCCTTGTCTGAGAAGGTATTTAATGGAAGATATCTCTTTTTTCAACAATGTGCGGTGCAATGCTTGAGAATTTTCAAGTTCAGTTGCTAACTTACTAGCAACTGAAGGTTGATGCATTAGGATAATTTTCTCCATGCTTTCCTTACGACATTGGCTGCTCTCATGTTCTTTAAACCGCTGAAGAGCTTTCTTCCAATTACCAAAACCATCCAGAGTGAAGGCTTTTTCTTGTTTTGAACTGAATGTCAACAATCCTTTTTGCTTAGCTTTTCGGCAGTAGTGGCAGAAGACTAAATAGCTTGTGCCACATAATGTAATCCAAGAATAATTATTATACCAAACAACTTGAAATGTCCTAACCCGAAAATTTTTTCCAACACCAGAAGCTTGAGATGTTTTTTCCAGGATAGTTTTAGAACGTGGTTGAAAAGGTTCGCTTGAGTCTTCAGCACAACATATATTTTTGCATTTAGCACTACCCTAGAAAATGAATTTCGTATGTGCATGATTAGCTGACATTAAGTTTGAAACCTAGCAGTAATACGTAAAATCCAGTACAATATAAGTTATGTTTGAAATACTTAACCTGTATATACAGTCTTTATAGTACTGATAAACTTTATATATAGATTATAGTCTTTATATAGAAATTATAAATATACCTGATGATCATTAATATTTTTATCCAAGACTGTTATTGGTTGGTGTTCTTCACCAAAACTTTCGTCTGCAGTATAAGTATAAAGTAAAATATATAACTTAGATATTTTAACATATTCTTCACTTTAGGATTTAGTGATTTACTGGCTTATAAAACAGAATAGGCAATATGTTGAGTCGATAAAGTCATAAATATACTATACTACCCGTATACTATAAATTAAAAACGTAAAAGCACCTACCTTGCTTTGCCGAATCGCTAAGGTCTCTACGTTCGGTTTCTTCATCAGAAGACGCGGAAAGAGATGGGTTATCATCCTCCTGTTGACTTTCTAATTCTTTGCATTTAAAAAACTCTTTAATAGAACCATACCTAATTTTAGTGTGCAGTGATAGCCAATTTGTGCAGTGATAAAAGTAAAATGTGCAGTGATAAAGTGCAAAATGTGCAGTGATAAATTTGATTTGATAAGTTGTTAATTAACACAAGAAAATGAGACAATGCCGGCAGAAAAACTGAACTAATCCGGCGAAACATTTTGAATGAGAATGATTTAATTGAAATTGAAATGATGACTGCCAAATTATCGAACGTCCGCATTAATAACATACTTATGGTTCATCAGATGAACAAAGTCTCTCACCAAAGATCTCTTTATAAGTTTGGAAGAAGGAGTGAATGATACTTATAAGATTTTGTAATTACTGTATAATTTTCAGAATTCTATAGAATGTCCTCACACATTGCAGGAGATACCCATTTATAGTGCCTAGATTACAAAATTGTCTGTGGCGCATGCCCCTGGAACTCCTCTAGAGGTTTGTCACGCCTAAGCCCGTAAGCGCCTTTAATTTGCCAAGACGAAAATATTTATTTTCTTCAGTCATGTTATTATGAAACTAAGCTGTCACAGATAGTCGTAACTGCAGGTGCTGTCAAGGCCGCCCAGAGGTGTGAAATTTGCCCTGTGACCCCAGTTAAAGGGGGGCCCAAATAAAGAATTGCAGTGAAATATACCGCATAGATATAACTGTCAACTAGACTTCCAGAATGCAGTATTTGGCCATTTCTGGGACCTCAGATTCAAAATTTTTCGGGTGATGCCCCCGGACCAGGGAATCATAGTGTTAGAACATGGAATCACGAGAGCCCCCAAGTCAAAGTTTGTCCTGGGCCCCCAAATTTCCCCGAGTGCTGTGCAGTGTATGTTCGTTTTGGCATTTTTGAATATGAATAGTAGCCTGCTTTGTTGTTACACATTATTATAAGGGTGTGTTCAGAAATTTTCAGGGCGTGCTTCTGCTCGACTAAACTTTGCACAAAACTGTGCAGTGATAAAAAATTCTTAAAATTAGGTATGAATAGAACGAGAACGGCCAGCACTCATGTTTTATTCATATTTTGCTTGCGATTGCGCTAGATGATAACACTTAGCGAAGCAATTGCCGCTGCCTAAGTACCTAACACATCAAAACTCCATGATAAAACAAATAATCGCTCACAAATAAACTCGCGATGAAAGAAAAATTTTATCCATGTAAATTTTGATCACAGATACGTGTATTACTAAAATGTATACACAATTCTAAATACTTTCAGTTTCGAATTTCACTGCATTTATTGTAAATTGAGTAAATTCAATGATTTCTTGGGGGGGCCGAAAGCTATCTCGGCCCCCCCTTATAAATTTTTTGCCCCCCCCCCCGCTTCCTACGCCCTGAGTTATAGCGAACTACATTTTGCCTGAAAGTAGCCAAGTAGTTGACTACTTTTCAAACAGCGAATCGCTATTCGCTACTTTTTAAAATTGTTAGCAACTTGATAGAATAGCATGATATTGAGACACGGTTTGCTTAAATTAAATCAATACTCAATAGTCAATTTGCACTCCTGAACACTGTAGTGCTTACAAAATGTTGCTTTGTGTTTACTGTTGTTACTCGTAAGTCGATTTGTTATAGATTACATTACAGCCTGAGTTAGTAGATGCTCCAAATCACTGATAGTAAAACTAAAAATATATAGTGTAGCGAAATAATTCGCTATATTTTTTAAGCAGTAGCTGTAGTCAGTAGCGAACTACCTTTGTTCAAAAGTAGCAGTAGTTGTAGCTGACTACATATTTTTGAAGTAGCTGTAGTTATAGCGACTACAAAAATTTTGTAGTCAACCCACCCTTGTAACTTAGTAGGCGAACAAGTCCCACAATTCTTATGTTGACTCCCACACCCAACCATTACAGTTCACTTTGTGAAAATGTATAGCAGAAAGGATTTTAACGGTCTGTGCCAGTGTAGGTAGTGATGATAACGCTAGAATGCTGCAGATTGAAAGTAATTCAACTACCTGAAAAACACAAGTGAAACATCGACATTTCGACGAAGGGTCTTCGCTCAAAACTTCCAAATTTTACATGTATCTTTCTGGTAGTTGAATGCCTCTCAATCCGCAGCTTTCTGGTATACAATAAGTCAAACTTGCTTTAAGAAGAAAAATGCTTTTAAATTCCAATAACCGTGCAAACCTTGCTCAGTTTATGCTGAAAGTTCAATCTTCTAAATGAAAGCGTTCAACAGACAAGTTGAATTTGCAGTTTAATGAGTTAAAATCACTGATAAATTCGTGAACTGATTATGTTGAAACCACAGTTTAATCCTAATTATCCCTGTTCAATATTTTATCTTAGATGATGTTGGCTTCTCCATAGAGTTATCCTGCAAAAGGGGAACATTTCGATCGAAATGTTCCACTTTTTAACCGCGATATGTATATTTAAAGTAAATTTCAACCTCTACACTACAGCTATTCTGCAAGTTAGGTACTCAAGTTATTAAGTCAAGTAGGATACTATTTGCTGGTCAACAACTAGTAATTCTGTGTAGTTAGTATCTTTTCTATTGCATATTTTCTGCGAACCTTTTGATAGACAACACGCTCAATCACACATGAGAAATTATCGAATAACATAACAAGTAAAATTGAACGAATTACAGATCTGAGACTATTGGTAGAACATTTCCCTTAATATTAAAATAATGTATATATTATTGCGAAACTTTGTATCATATGCCTAATTAGAAGCCAATAATTATGCCTGGCTATAGTTTATGACGTACAACTGATGAACTAATAGGGTAGGAAAGCAGGTTATGACGTAAATAATGACATATTTCCCACGTCTTACACTCGTGGTAATGGAAGTGTTCCTAAAATTCTACCAATTCATTTGCTCGCACGAACAAATTCATTTGACCAATCATACAGAGATATAGGAAGTGACCAAAAATTATCAAATACACGACGTTGCGTAATGTCGAACGTCTCAAGTGAATTGGTTCGTCCATGTGAGCAAATTAATTGGTAGAATATTACTATACTAGAATGTTTTAGGAACATTTCCATTGGGTTATTGTTTCCAAATAGTCATGCATGACAGGTGGGATATTTAGGTCGAAAAGTAATTTTTTATCCCATTCCCCTTCAGTGGCGGAAATCTCGGTGGGGGGCCCCCCCCACCTTCATGGAAAATGACGAATTTTCGGAAATTTTGACCTATAAGAGAGCTAAAAACAGCCTTTTCTAGTGCAAATGGGGGGGGGGGGTTGTCGGAAATTTGAAAGTTTTGTCGGAAATTCAGAAGGCTTCGCCCCCCACCGGAAAAAGTGAATTTCCGCCACTGTTCCCCTTATCGAGAACCCAATATCATCTATTATAAATATAGGTTATCATATAAGGGATGAGGTGATATCAGTTTTATCGCTCGAGGGATGATATCACAATTGTCACGAGCGAGCGCAGCGAGCGAGGGACAATTGTGATATCGTCCCAAGAGCTATAAAACTGATATCATCGAATCCCGAGTACGATAACCTATATATTATTTACTTGTACCTTTATCAGGGTTTGACACCCAAAAATAAACAGTTTTGAAAAAAAAGGATCATTTTAGAATTCGGAAAAATTCATCATTTACTGAACAAATATGATTTTAGAAAATAAATAGACCATTCATATAAATAATATACAATTTAAGTCTTTCGTTTTGTATTATCGTTCTTGTTTCCTTCGATAAAACTGTCGACATCAACCAACACGAACCCATTGAGCACGAACCTCGAGTCGCCATGTTTGTTTTGACAAGGCGCGAAATTTAGCGGGACAAAAAACGATATCCGGGACAAAAAACGATATCCGGGACGATATGTCGATATCGTTTTTATGTCCCGCTGCTTCCTACCTGATAAAGGTACAACGTCAAGTATGTAATAAAAAATAGTATCACAACATTGAACAGTCCACAATTTTGTCGCCTATACTGTATAATTGAATTGTAACAACTTTGGTGAGCCACACTTTTTATTTATTGAACATTTTCATTTAGTAAAAATGATACATATTACTGAGTCGACTTTCAAAACATTTTTAGTAGATAAGTTACGTGATATCCATAACTTCCTTCCTTTGAAAGCATACAGATAGTATAACGTAAGAGCACCTGCAATCTTGCAGGTGAAGTTAGCTGCTTATCTTTAATAAATTTTATTGTCAATTCTACAGCAATAATATTGTGAATTATGCATCATATAGAAGAAGTTCCCCAAAAAGAGCAACTAATTACCTTGCTTGTGAGATAAATAAGAGGCCGTCATAGCTTAAATGTTTGGAAAATGTTTCAAAACGCTTAACGACTTTAAAGATAACGCGTAAATTTTATGCAGACCGGTTAGAGACGCTTAAGTACTCACGCAGGTGGTGCATTGACGTGTGCCGACTTATCAACCTTCCATCCGTGGGTATAAAACAACAGTAGTTCCTCGTCTCTGTACAGTACCCTTCGAAACTACTTAATTTGCAGTTCCCTGCAGTGGCTAAAACGTCGACATAAATTTCACAATGGGACAGTCCATTACCAAACTTCGTAAAGAAGTTACAAGTCCACAAGAAGGACAGAAACGAGAGTTTGAAGAACGTCTTCAGATCCTAGAAAAAATGATCGAGCAAAGACTTGAGATTGAGAAGATCGCCATCTTGAACGGTGAGAAAAATGACCAAGAAATTGATACTGGTACCATTGTGTCTTTACACAAAATGGTGTTTATAAAAACAGAAAAAAAGGAAAGCGATGACTTGAAAAAAGTGATCCATCAATTATTTTCCGGTGACTTTATCGGAGGGCTTGAATCTATTGTTGGGTTGGGTGCAGAATCCGTTCTTGGTAATGACAGCGTGGGAGAGTACGATTCAACTGATATGTTTATTGTCTGGAGTGACAATGCTCTACTTCGTTGTGATACGTACTATTACCGATGGAACTTTGTGTCAAAATCTGTGATAAACGAAATAGAAGGAGTGACTGGTTGTCTTTTGATGAAACGAGTGATTGATATAACAAAAACCGATCCTCAAGTGTTGACCTGGGCTATAACAAGAATGGCAGATCGTTTCAATAACGTGACAGAAGAGAAATCAGCTGACTCTAAAGATGGGGTAAGTACCAACCTAATACGAAATTGATCATCAAATATATTTCCAATGTGTCTTTGTCTAGTTTTATTGTAACTTAACATCTACGACGTCAACGTCAGCTAGGACGTCAAGGATGAGCAGAGGACTGGAACTATGACGCCGTACCAAAATAAGTAGATAGAGGAGACCTTAATATGTTGGTCGGCAAAGCGACGACAACGGCCAAAACAAATTCATTCAAATAAATTATTGTAAAGCCGGTTTTTCACTTCCAAATTTTTTGTCTTTATCCAATTGGTTCCAGATGGTTCCAGTTGAGAGACCAAAGACAAATGAAAAATTCGCTTCGAGCGAAAAAATTCGCAAGTGGAACTGAAGCCGGCATGAAGAAAGCTTACCGTGTATTATCGTATGAATTGAACACAGCTTGAAGATATGAAAACAGATGCTTTCTATGAGTAGAATTCCACATTACTCATTAGTACTCAACCAATTTGCTGAGTATCCACTTCTTACGTAACTAAAATGCAAACGTTCTACACAAGACGTAAAAACTCTGGTTTACACGACATCTAAATCTCTCATGCGGGATTTTAATTATTTATTTCTTTTCTTAAATATTTATTAATTTCATTGTATTACTACCCGTCGTCATCACGTTGCCGTCCTAGATCTTAAGGTCTCTAATAGCTAAAGATCTACAACGTCAAATATCTATATAGGACGGCAAGCGGAAGTAAATTGGCAATATTTTTTAAGCGCGCATGCGTCTCTCTCAATTGCTCGCCGTTCACCAAACGTCGAGTCGACAACTTCACAACAAGAGTTTTGCCGTCGTGGATACAATCGCATAACAAACGGCAATGAATTCACACGTCTCTTTAAAATTCATTTTCGAAACGATGTGAATATTTATAGTTTAAAAGTCGACGTCATGAATCTCAAGTGGATATTTAGGTTATCGTTCCATGTTTCGCGCACCAATATAGGTTAGGGGTTAGGTTAGGGTATATATATATATATATATATATATATATATATATATATATATATATATATATATATATATATATATATATATATATATATATATATATATAGGTTATCATATAAGGGATGAGGTGATATCGGTTTTATCGCTCGAGGGATGATATCACAATTGTCACGAGCGAGCGCAGCGAGCGAGGGACAATTGTGATATCGTCCCGAGAGCGATAAAACTGATATCACCGAATCCCGAGTACGATAACCTATTTATTATATACTTGTACCTTTATCAGGGTTTGACACCCAAAAGTAAACAGTTTTGAAAAAATAGGATCATTTTAGAATTCAAAACAATTCATCATTTACTGAACAAATATGATTTTAGAAAATAAATAGACCATTCATATAAATAATATACAATTTAAGTCTTTCGTTTTGTATTATCGTTCTTGTTTTCTTCGATAAACTGTCGACATCAACCAACACGAACCTCGAGTCGGCCATCTTTGTTTTGACAAGGCGCGAAATTTAGCGGGACAAAAAACGATATCCGGGACAAAAAACGATATCCGGGACAAAAAACGATATCCGGGACGATATCGTTTTTATGTCCCGCTGCTTCCTACCTGATAAAGGTACAAGTATGTGATAAATATATATATATAGATGCTATATATATATAGATGCTATATATATATAGATGCTATATATATATAGATGCTATATATATATATAGATGCTATATATATATATATATAGATGCTATATATATATATATAGATGCTATATATATATATATATATATATATATATATATATATATATATATATATATATATATATATATATATATATATATATATATATATATATATATATATATATATATATATATATTAGAGCTGTGCGGTTAACCGAAAAATTCGGTTCTTCCGGTACTTTTTTCAGCACCGAAAAACTATACGCAAAAAACCGGTAGTTTCGGTTTTAATTTCCCGTTTAACGCCCACCTGATTGCAGGTTGAAATGTTTGGAAAATAACAAGATTGTGCTCTTTGTGCACAATATGCACTGTACTAAGTGCTCAAATAGTTGATATTTTAGCTGTGATAGTTATTTTTGTGAACTTGCTTTAAATTTTTTTAAAAACTAAGAAATATTACATCTTCATAAATAAATTCCAATTGTTCTTTTAAAATATTCAGAGATTTATACAAACTTAGAAAGGCATAAATTCATCTATTTAGTAAAAATGCTCGAAACATACATAAATGAGTTCATACATTTGTACTGTTCTTCTTTTTTGAAAATAACCGAAACCGAACCAAACCGAGGTTTTTTTGTTCCAAAAAACCGAAACCGGAACCGAGATAAAATTTTTGGAACCGCACAGCTCTAATGTAAAGCTGTTTCCGTATTATATTAATAATCTCTGTTTTAGGAATGTTTCTGTCAACATGTATAGATTTAGATTAAAACAACGTCATTACGCGCGATTGGTATTTTGGAGTCTGGGAACGTCCTAGTTTTTGACGACAACAGCCTAGTTTTTTTCCAAATAAGGTAATTCTAGGACGTTCTCAGACCCCTGCGCACAAAAAACTAGGACGTTCCCAGTCTTCTTCACCTTCTCACGTCCAGAAAACTAGGCAGTTCGCATTTATATAATTACAATGCGTGATATCAAATAACATTTGCGCAAATCTGTCGCAATAACATTGGTGTAATCAGAAAAAAAGCATTAGAAATACATTATATTCTTTGTATTCAGTACAGCTACCAATAGTACAATGTACTGAATATTAGTTATTACGCTTATCTCTCACTTATTGAGGCAATGATTATTTACGCAAATAACGCAATGACGAATTGTGATTCATGTTTGGCATACATTACATTGTAATTTTTAAGAGATACGTAGTCATCAACTAAATTGGATTCTTCGGTGTTGTTTTTAAAGCTGTTGTTTCTAATAATGTGGGCATAGGCATGGTCTTGTTTTTTTTAGTTTGAGTACTAAAACTGGAGTTTTTATTATATAAACCAACGTCTATATATAGACTCTATACATGAATTGTAAAAGTATATCACACTCTGCACTTGACCTTTAAAACGGTAACTTTATAACGTCACAATATTTATGGTCACCACTTTTCCCCTGATGCTTTGCTAACATGCAAATTGTCTAGTATTGATCTTCAAAAGAACTTAGAACGGCAATTTTATAAAGACATTACCAATACAAGAAATGTTAAAATTG